TGTTTATAAAAAATATCATATGATTATTCCTTCCTGCGTGACACTTGCAATGGCTTTGAAGAGGATGGGGCTAAATGAATGTAGAAGACTTGGTGGTTTTGTCAGGGTAGGTTAATGGTTGGACTTGATGATCTTAAAGGTCCCTTCCAACTTTAGCGATTCTATGACTTGAAAAGCTCACATAGAAGGGCTTTGTCACAGTACTGGCCACATTCCTACTGTTGCTCTAGTCCAGGCAGAAAACCTGCTGGTCAGGCTGGCTTCAGCTCTCGCAGCAAACCATGCTGAGTCCAGTTACCAGGGAACAGTGATTTTCTCCAACTTGACTCGTCCCACCACACTCTTTTAATCTCTAAGTATGCAGAATGAGTTCAAAGATGCTGTATTTTGGAAGAGGTGTGGAACAAAGAGCACCTTAGCAGAAGCAAATCGTCCACCACCTCCTGTTTAAAAGGAACTTGTGCTGTGCTGCTGCCAACATGGAAGTGATGCTTATAGTGACCCCCTTCCTAAGGGGATGCAACAAATACACGGGACCTTCAAACACATGCTAATTTACAGCCTGAACCCTTGCCTGGGTTTTAGATAGGTGTATAGTATAGATTAGGCCCATAAAAAAAGCAAAAAAGCATTATCAAGACAGGTCTTGAAAACACTTCAGTTGGGAAATTTCACATGAAAATGCTGATACAGTCTAAATATAGAACTAGACTTATTGCTGCTGCTTATACAGAAGTTAACCGAAGTTCTTGGATTCTGAGAAACAACTACCGTGAGAGTTACACAGGTATATAAAAACTCATTTCAGAAGAACTCCTCTAATGGCTTTCTTATCTGCTTATCTATCTTGCATGAAAAAGCAAGCCCAGCATTAAACTAGCAAGTAAACAGAGCTGGCATTACTTGTACTAGAAAAAGGGTCAGAAATTGTATTCAGTAACAGCTTTCAAGAAGTTCAAAACAATCTGAATGCAAAAAGTGCACACCAAATTGAAAAATCCTACTTTTATAAGCTCCCTTTATCTATTAGGATTGAAAATTATTCTGTAAACCCTATGCTAAGCACATTAGCCCCTCTGAAATCAACATGAGGTCTCGTGCGAGACCATTCCCTCCTGTCCCACTGCCAAGGCTCTGGCTTTCCTGGAGCAGATTTGAGTCAGGGCTTGCCCAGGGAGTCAACAGAGAAGGCTGCCTCTCCACGACTGCTCAGAAGCCCTTCGCATTTCCTCCAGTTGAGGTCTCCTGCATTTCCCCCAGCTCTTGAGGACCTGCAGCAGAAGGTTGCTGACTGGGGCAGCGCTGGGGACCACGCCGGTCCCAGAGAGCGAGGCAGCACTAGCTCTAGCTTCGCCTCACTGCAAGAAGAGTACAGGACAGAGCAGGGCCAAGCTCACAGCTCCCGTTTGCCCAGGCAGGGCGAGGTGGTTAGCGCTGATGTTGTGCCAAGACCAGATTAACACAATGGTTAATGAGACCCTTTCCCCCCACACGCAGTCAGCAGCCTGAATGAAGATCTAATATATGAAGTGTCTTGTTTAAGACACTTCAAGACTGCTGCGTGCCGTTCTCAGCATGCTTTAGTGAAGGAACAAGGGAAAAAAACAGCAGTACTGTAAGAAAAAAGATATGTAGTGCCTTTATTGAATTAAAAAATGGACCTTTTTTTAAAGTGCCTTTACATAACACACATGAAAACTTTAGCATCATTTGTATAAATATATCAAAAGGAACAAGTATTTTTTAAAAAAACAGTACTTTGGCTCAGTAAAGTAACTTTCCTATCCCTAAAGGTAGGGATAACAAGTAACAAGTAACTCAATCTATTCCAGTCAGCAAAAGTAATTCTGAAGGCCCGAGGCTGCCAGAACTCCGTTGGCGGGCCTGCATACTGCGAGCTGTCAAGGTGGAAGTGCAAAGTCAGCATTGTACCCAAGTCCTCAGCGTACAAATACCATATTTCCAGTGTTCCGTCTTCACATTTGATATAGGGATCTTCTTACAGAAGAGTTCTGTAACCAAACTGTAGAGCTTCTGTCCTACTAAATTCTTCCATTGATGTGAACCGTAACGATTAACCTTGCTCAGATGGATCTCAGTAACTTCAGATGGATCTCAAGGCTCTTTTACCCTACAACAGGCTGTCACTGAACACACACCATATTTAAAAGCAGACTGTGTGCAACAGCTAAGTGCATGTGGCACTTCATGACCAGAACTGACGCTCCCTTGACAATTTTGTCTTGAATAAAACACAGAATGAGAACAGAATATAAGCATACGTGCATTGGTCTATACATACACGACATTCATCAATAAAACACCCCAGTACCATGACAGTTTGAAACAGTCTGATGATTCAAATGCACTTTTTCCTTCCTACCCTGACATGAAGAGATTCTTATTTTCCATTCTGGCCAAACACACATTCAACTCAAAAAGTTCAGAAGTTCTGTCTCTCAGAAGCACAGTTTCACGTTTCCAGCATACACCGAGGTAACCAAAGCACTTTAGGTGTGAGAGGAACATATTTCCACTGGGTTTGTCACTTATCAGGCAGAACATGAGGGTCCCGCCATCCTGTGTTCACTGGGCAGTTCTTCCATCAGATGACACTTCACACTATCAGTTTTGTTTGGTTGAGGATGGAGGCATAAGAAGATAAACGCTTGAGCCATGAAAGAAGAAAAAACCAACACTGCAGTGTCAAAATCAGTAGATGATTCGGAAGGATGCAGAACATGAGTTTTTTTTCAGATGAACAAGTGGAGATACCAAAGCACCAACTCAAAGGGAAAAATTCTGCTTACTACTGTATTAGCAACAGCCTCCAAGGACAGGTTGGAAAGTGATGGAGTTTGACACAAGAGTAGGTTGCTTGTTCCAAGATAAGGGAGCTGCATGGGAAAAGATAGGCTGGAGTTTGAATGGGAGGAGAGTAAAAGGTGGTGCAAGAGAGAAGCTGATAGGACATGCACAGGAGGAATTCAGAGTTGGAAGCAGCAGTTAAAGGCAGTAACAGTCAAATCCTGAAGCTTCCATATACAACTAGATCTCGTAACTTAAAAATGTAACTTTCAAGGACAGACTGAAAAGCACAGGCAATTTGGTCTCACATCTCCTGCTCCTATGAAATTCATAGCCATAAACATGGCATTAAACAGATTTGATATTTTTTTAAACAATCAATCAAATCAATTCCCTCCCCTGAAATAAAAGAATTGATCATTACAAACTACCTCGCTGCCTACACACAAGTCAATCATAACTTCAGAGTTAACAACTGTGGCATACATACTATTGTTAAACAATTTAAAAAAAAAAAAAAAAAGAGGAAGAGAAAGGATTCAACAAGCACAGTAAGTTTTAGCAACTTCCTTTCTGAAACAGCTGTTTAGAAGCTGTGACTTCAACCTCAATTCATCCAGCCCCAGCCAAATTCAACACAGTCACCTGAGATTCCTTACATCATCAGGGAAAGGAGAAAAGCAAGCAGCTGCAGTGGGTAACACAGGGCATCTCTCTCTCTCATTTTAAGGCGTACTGGGCAAACAATGCTATTTTAGCTCTATTTTCTAAACACATCTGGACCCAAAAAGCATGGTCCCTCCACCCCTTTTCTTCTCCTAGTGCACTCTGAACCTTCTGGGAACCAGATAAACTCATTAATCTAAGGGAAAACTATCCCGAGGAAATGAATTATTTCTGCCACATTAGTCTGTTCAGCCAGCTTCAGCCTTCAGAGCTGACAAACACTAGAGCTGACACCCTGGCTGGGAACAGGAGGGAAGATCTGGTCTCCTTCAGCAACAGTGACCTATGTGACATGGGTGCCCTGAAACCCCCTGATCTGGTCTTTATGGTAAGGTGGATGAAGCCAATTATCCTGTACTCCCCATGAAAGAGTCTGTGTCATTAGCTAATTGTCCACTTGGGTAAAGTAAGAACAAATATATGAAGCCACTTAACTGGGAAAAAAAATCCTCTGGAAATTAATTTTTTGACTCAGTACAGCATTACAATGGTATTTTTACAATGTCTGCATGGGACAAGTGACTAAAAATAGTACAGTTTTTTAAAATGTAAAAAGGATCAGGGAAGACTGTTTATGCTTTGTCAGGTTCAACAGCACTTTTGGGTGGCTGGGATTGTCTCTTACCTTTTCTCTTGGACGATAACAAACTGATGCAGTAACACAGAGGGATTTATCTTTCAGCAAACCGAATAAGGCAAATAACAAACTTGTAACAAAGAAAAGTTTTGTGTCATTTCATTAAGAAAACTGAAACAAAAACATTTACTGGCATCAACCATGCCCATGACATGATATCACAATTATAATCAGTATAGTTCCCTTCATATTCAACCTTTAATTGCAAAAATCAAGTTTTCTGGGGGTTTTTTTGATAGTTTTTTTTAGTACCAAAGCATTCCACCAAATCACAGTGCAATTCTTGGAAAAGGCCTCATGTACTTCCAACATGGTTTCCATGTCATCGCTGTGCTACTGAAGACATTTCAAGGTGTTCTGTTGATCTGGCCAGAAGATTCACATCCGTAGATGAAATTGTAGTACCTTCAATCCAGAAAATTCGGGTCCACACAAAACAGATAGATGTGACCTTCAATCAATCCATCACCAACTCTGTGAACAGAATTAGTCATTTTTCTTTTGTTATTTAGGGAGAATTAAAGTCTTTTGGTAACAAATGCAATTGTGATGAAGATCCATTTTTTCTGGATGGAAAGCATTCCACCAAATCACAGTGCAATTCTTGGAAAAGGCCTCATGTACTTCTAACATGGTTTCCATGTCATCGCTGTGCTACTGAAGACATTTCAAGGTGTTCTGTTGATCTGGCCAGAAGATTCACATCCGTAGATGAAATTGTAGTACCTTCAATCCAGAAAATTCGGGTCCACACAAAACAGATAGATGTGACCTTCAATCAATCCATCACCAACTCTGTGAACAGAATTAGTCATTTTTCTTTTGTTATTTAGGGAGAATTAAAGTCTTTTGGTAACAAATGCAATTGTGATGAAGATCCATTTTTTCTGGATGGCATGTGGTAGCGCACTTTCTTCCAGAATCTAGTACTTGCTGAATGATACCTTTCCGAGAAGTCCCCTTTCCATCGGATAGCCCCGTGCTTTTGCTTAATATATTTGACGGACTCTGGCATGGTTGCATAATCTTGTATTTTTTCAAGTTCAATGAGAATTACTTTAATGCCATCTTCAATAAGAGCATTATACATGGCTAGATGCTTTTCAGACGCATCTTCTAGAATACTGTAACAGGAGGGTTCTGGTACTAAAACAATTATCACTCTTCTACTTTGACGAATTTTTTCATCAGCAACGCTGATCATAGCTGTAGAGAAAAAGGTTGTGCAAAATTAAGGCTGTATGTTCCTATTTTTTGTTACCAACACGTTGCAGCTCTCTCATTCCCTGTTTGATATTTGAGCCAACACACGTTACCTCACCAACAAGGACAGGATAAGAGCACGCAAGCATTTACACTGGGTTAGCCAACAAGGAGAGATTTGGCCAATACCACACAATCTGACCCCATCAGACTGCATGTCTAGCAAGGAAGGCAATGCTTTGTAACAACATTCACTAGGGACAAGCAGTCTTTGATACAGCTGATTGTTCCTGATAACTTAGTGTTGCTTTGTGTTCTTTTTCTTTTCCACCTGTGCTGTCTAAGCATCCATTGTACCCTTTATTGCATCCTATTGGTTTGACAGCAATTCTTAGAACGAACTAAAATGAAACAGTAGAGAGGTCATTCTGTCAAATGGCACCTCAAAGCAACGGGCCTTTTTCATACCACTCACGAGACCTACTTTTCCATGTTTCCTGCCATTATAGTCATAATTCACAACCACAATTTCAACTCCTCTTCCCCTCACCATCCTTCCATCTCCAGGTGTCTAGGCTAGCCAGACACTGAAAAAACCTAGAAGAACTAAATAATGTCAAGGGAAAGACTGAGATAAACAGACTTCATGGGAGCACCCAGTGCTCTCTTTCTCATTCTCCATCAGACAGAATAAGAAAATCATAGCTCATTCAACAGTGGGAGATATTTAGAATCACATCTGATCGATTGCCTGTTTCTGAGTTCTATTTGCAGCTGCTAATGACAAAACTTGAGTATAATTTGTCTTCAGATAGCTTACCTTCTCCTGGTAAATCATCTCTCCCAAATATGAAGAGGTTATATCCACACTGTCTTTCTAAGACCTCTGGCAGTATCTTCAGAGCAAAAATATTTGATGAATACAAGCAGCTCTCTCTGTTCTTTGGATAGAGAACGTACGCATCATAGATCTTCCCATCTGAAACTAAAGAGTGAGCAACAGTAGTAATATAAAAATGGATTCTAAAGATACAAAAGCAAGCAAGGAAGCAAACAAAAAAAATCTCTATAATCTTTCCCCCCCCCTTGAATCATTGGTTTAGGTCCTAATCCTGCCATTATGTAAGCATGTACAATTATACCAAGTCTGAAATATTTGTAGAATCAGGCTTTCTAGAATTCAGTATGCCAGATCTGAATAAGCAAGAGACCTGCAAAATTACATAGGTTTGAGGTGGTTTTTTTTGAACTCTAAATAAAAAAACGTTATTACTGAATTATCTGGAAAATAGCAGTTCCAGTAGTACAACTGAATACTTAAAAATCCAGCTGCCATACAACTCACAGGTCTGTTTTGTAACCTAGATTTTCAAAACACAGCAAACACTTCGACATGAAAACAAAACCAAAGTACTTGGCAAATTTCAAGGTCTGAATTGTATTAGATTTTTTGGAACAAATTTTTCAAAAAGACCAAATTTAAAAGACTTCAAAGAAATCTAACAGCACTTCAGTACCTCTAGAAGATATTTTCTGTTTCTCTAGCCATGTACCTCCTTCAGATGTTTGGAAATGACCCACATTTCAGCATACTGTCATAGTCAGCACCGCTATCAATACTTTTTGAATGTCATGAATTTACAGACAGTAAAACAATCAGAAGTGCTTTCAAGTGGAAAATTAAATTTGTCCTGGTTTGTCTATGGAAAACAAAAACCACCCAGCAATTCCCCTGTACTACTGCTTTCTGTAAGAACAGTAAAAGAAATCTGAACAACTGCTGGCAGAACAGCATTCAAACCACTGAAGTGGGTCTTCAGGGAAAGGAATGATAGTACTGGATTCCTGGAAAGTTGCTGATTTTTCCCCCGTAGATGCTTTTGTTATCTAAACTAATTCTAAACATCCCAAAAACATGTTGTCCTTTCAAAAATCCCAAGGAAGACCAATCACACTCCATGAGGTTAACTCATTGCTTTGCAAGGGTAGGTGGAGTCTCATTACAACACATAGCACTGCTACACAAACATACCTTTTTTACCCAGGAAAGGATGGCAGGAGTCCCGATACCAAAGCACAATATCAATTTTGAAGATCTTGTAGACAAAGAGAGTAAAAAATACTAAAAATACCAAAGAAACTCCTCCTCCAATTAAGTAACCCTGAATGTTCTGAGCTGCAGTAGAGTGGAATAAGAAGGGAGAAAACAAACAAACAAAATACAGTTATACACTAGAACCAGAGAAAGACAAAAGAAATGTTCAGAATTGCTTAGTCATTAAAATAGTTTTTAAAAAAAAAGAGAATGAAAGAATAGGCCTGAAAGTTCTTCATGTATGCTTTCTGCAAATACTGTCATTTGACAAGCCTACTTTCATCTTTCAGAGAAAAGATACCTTAGCAATGTGACAAATGAGGCTACTCTTCAGCTGAAACACCAATATACTGACATCCATGCCAGTGCAGCAGAGTGAGAATTCTTCTACAAAATTTTATCAGTCAGCAAGCAAGAAAGTCAGAGGTAGGGAGGTGATGTCCTGATCATGCAATTCTTCCCAGACCAACCAGCTTTCTATTGTCTCTAACCTCTTCGAAGATTTGTCATTGAACTTACTAATTTGTTGTCCTTAATAGATTTGTTGTCATTAAAACAAACACACACTCTCCACAAATTGCATTTTTTAGTTCATGCATATTAAAGATTTTCTGAAGTTAAATCCTACCCTGACAATCTTTATGAAGAACTTATAGTTACGTAACAAACTAGAGCTCAAATCTGCTTCCAGTCAATTATTTGTTTACAATGTGGCCTGTTAAAGGTAAGTTTGAAAATAGCATTTGTCAGAAGATTGGCTCACAGTTGACAAAGTCAGCTCAAAACAAGCTCAATGGAGCAGAGGCTCTTCTGCAGCTAAATTAAAGAAATGGGCACATATAACATCCGGTGATTTGCTTTTCTGTGTATCTGGTTTTAAATAAAAATAATACATATCTTCAGCCTTGCATTTGAGTTTTTGAAGCTCACTTTAAGTTCATCGACTAAAAAGAAAATTTCGTGCTAGCCAGCAATAGGTCAAACTTATCCTCGTCTCTGAGCACAAGACCTGCGGTCTCCAATAACTGGCAGGATGCTCCCAATCAACATGCATGAGCCTATCTACAGGGTGATAACACAACACGTGCATCGGTAATGGAAAGTCCATAACCCTACCAAACAATCTATTTCATTCCTTCACTATCATCACTGTTAAGAGTTTCTCCTACTATATAAAGAGATTTCTCTGCTCTTATAGACACACGATCTCCCCTGATGCACGTGCTTCTTTAAGTACAAATGAGTAAAATGAAGCGCAGCATTCCACTGAGGTCTCATACTTGCTTCAAATAAATTGGAGTCTTTCATTAATGTTCCCTAAAACACTTAATTTGCTTTGTCTTCTCTCATTCAAAGTGCCATTTTCTTTAATTTTGCTAAGAATATGACAAAAAAAAATCATGAAGAAAGGTACTGAGCTGCACTGCCCACAAATGCACCTTCCACAATGGTACATCACACAGTTTTAGCTCTAAGTAGGGCATCATCAAACTAACTGGGAACCATTTTATCAAGATGAGATCTCTTACCTGGGCGTTCCAGTTTGATGTAGGCTGTAAATTGTTGAGTACCATATATGAAGTGACAGAAAAAATTATGAGCATAATCCTTTACTTTCACTTTTGAAATGTTAAATTTTGTTCCAGATACAGCAAGTCCATGAGGCATCTTCTCTCTGTCATTAAAAAAGGGTAAAAAGGAAACATCTGTAGAGAAACTGAAATATCAGTGCTTAATATAGGACACGTTAATCTATCCACAAATACAAGAACATGCATTTTTAACCTCTATAAACCTAAGAAACCAATGAAGCACAGTAAATATCACCCCTGTAACAAACAGCTTCATGATCAGAGATGACTTGGTATTTTCCATACACTCTGGAGTTTTTTTGCTGGGTGGGCCAGAGTGCACCACCAGCAGTTTTGCAGATGATAGAAAACTCAGAGTGATGGCTGATACACCAGAGGGTCATGCCGCCATCCAGAGGAACCTCGACAGGCTGGAGAAATGGGCTGAGAGGAACCTCAGGAAGTTCAAAGCAAAAAGCAAATCCTGCACCTGAGGAGGAATAGCCAGTCCCCAAGCATCTTGGGCTGTATTAAGAGAGCTGCCAGCAGGTTGAGGGAGATGATCCTTCTCCTCTACTCAGCACTGATAAGGTCATACCTGGAGTAGCAGGGCCAGTTCTGGGCTCCCCAATACAAGAGATGTATGGATTTACTGGAACAAGTCCAGTGCACAGCTGTGAAAATGATTAAGGGAGTGGAGCATCTGTCATAGTAGAGAGCAAGGACTGTTCAGCCTGCAGAAGGGAAGGCGGGGGGTGGATCTTATCAATGTGTGTAAATACCTGAGGGAGGGAGTGGAGCAGAGGGAGCCAGGCTCCTTTCAGTAGTGCCCACTGACAGGACAAGAGGCAATGAGCACGAATTGAAACACCTTCCCATCTGAAATTCCATCTGAACACTTGTTTACTGTCAGGGTGGTCAAAGATTGCAACATGTTGCCCAGAGAAGCTGTGAAGCCTCCACCTGTGGAGATATTCAAAACCCAACTGGACACAGCCCTGAGCAACCTGCTCCATCTGACTCTGGTTGAGCAGGGGGGTTGGACTGGACAATCTCAAGAGGTCCCTTCCAACCTAAATGATTCTGTGAATGAAAGACTATTCAAACCAGTAATAACTAGTCATAGAAGTGTCAAGAGAAAAATCGTCTTCCAGGATTCTTTATACTGATGATGAAGCAGAGACTAAGCACGCTAACAGACTCCCTGAGCCCACACTGTCCACAGTCAATGCCGCCGACCAACTTGGGAAATAATGATGAACAAAATTCACAAAAGCTGGGTGTCCCTGCTGTCAAATGACAACATGGTGATGCTGCCTTAATGTCTGGTATCTATTGCCACCAGAAGCTTGGAGATATACTATACTATCCTGCTAAATACCATCTTGCTCTAAGGTAAATTTACAAGTATAAGGTGGGAAGAGCCGCAATAGGAAGGTACCTACAAACTGGCATTCTACTCTATATACCAAAGTGACGTCACATTATGTGCTCAAGGAGGAAAACTCATTTTGCAGAACATCCTGAAGAACCAGTTTCTATTGCATAAATAATTGCCAGCAACTTCTGTCATGGGATGCCAATACAAACCTCATCATTTTGCAACTTGTTCAGATTTGTTCACATCAGTTTTAACTTTCCTCCCAGTAGAGGAAAGAGTTACCTCCTAGGTGTAAGCCTTAGGTCCATAATGTTGGCCATGCGTACAGTGTGGTTTGCTACTAGCAAATGTTCCACAAATTAAATTGCTGAGAAATTGCTACTATTTTTTTAAATAAAACATTATTATTGCAATTAGATTAATTTCTCTGATACTGGATAACTTACTTTGAACTATTAATCCTAATTAGAACTTGGACAGGATGTGTTTTGCACAATTCCATCTCTGGCATGGGAAAATTATCAGGCAGAGTAGTGATTAGAAACAGAGATCACATCCAAGCAAGCCAAAAATCTTAACAGAGAATCGCTTTGAGATAAATATATTAAATGCTTTTCAGGAAGACGTGTTTAATATCAGCACCAAGTTGATTTCAGAAGAAGCTGCAGTTATTATAACTTTAATCATAGCTACACAGAGCTGCACATGTGTCTTAACTGGTGAAGCTGAGAAACTTCATGTCCTAAAGAATAATGGACTTAGTTGTACCTTAGAGACCATAAGCTGAGGGCCTAACATTTCTAGGCAACCAACCAAGCATACAGATCTGTAACAAAAGTAATAATTCTCCCTAAAGGAACCTGGGGACAAAGTAAAACTAAGATTCCTTCTGGAGGCCAGATACAGATGAATGAAAAAGACAATTTTAAAAGCAATCTGCAACCTAACTCTCTAGCCTTATTCTGCACTGATGATGGCAGTTGGTGGAGACGGCAACGCTTCTGCATAAGTGTGAACTGATCAGCTATTTTTTTTCCTTTCTTCTTTGCACTACATTTTAAGGGTTATATTTAACAGCGGTGATTAATACAATGAGAAAGCAAACAGTACATCTACAGTCTGCTACAGCATAGACCAGTCACTGAGTAACAGAAGTCCTGCACTCTTGAAAGAACTGCTGGTGTTATCAGCTTGATTTGTGTTGAATTTTCCTGAACATTAGGAAAAAAAAAAAAAAAAAACCCACAAATTTCCTGCAACAAGAGCTTCTGCTTTGCATTCTTTAGGATTAGCAGCTGTGTCTGTACTTAGAAAAGGACCAACTTCACAAATAAAAATAAGTTAGGTGATTTTTTGGTTTTGGAACAATCTATCCTTCCCATATTAATGACAGTGCGCAGACTTTAATCTATTAACAAAAAGGATTGCATAAAAACAAATGCATAAATAAGCCTTATAAAATTATGTTTCACAACAGCATTATAAAAACCTACATGTGATTGCTTCATTATATTTGTATCGCGTATGTCAGTATTTATAATAAAACATTTATTTTTTTATAAGCCAAACATTAAGAATACAATTTACTTGACATAGACTTCTAACCATTGTTTCAATGACAACTGACATTTGACTAGTAGTCAACTTTATGGTGAAATCACTGCAAATTATTGCAGATCACTTACCCTACAAATGCACTTACAATTCAATGTATAAGGATACTTACTCATAGAACTGTTCCCGGTAGGTGCTATCAAAGCTATCAACATCCTCATCATTAACTTGCCAGAATGGAATCAAGCCATATATGCCACTTGATATATTACATTCCATAACTACATGAGAGCCTACCAAAAAAAAAAAAAAACAACATTGAAATACAGCAATTGAAGGTCTTGTTACAGAAGCAGGATCAAGTGATTGGAGATCAGCTGGGAAAAGCAGGGATATTGAAAAACCCACCTACCTTATGAAAAGCAGAATCCTTAAAACTCATCCGTTTGTAATCCACACTCGGGTGTCTTTGATCTGGATATAAATTCTATCCTAAATGTAGGTGTCTAAATGTTCACATCTACATGTAAGCTAGATGACTAAGATAGTAACAGAGTTTAGCTCTGCTGAAGTCCACTCACGTTAAAGTAGACATGTGGACCTTACCAGCTGAAAGGCTCTGCAGACACCGCTGAGTCCGCTGAAAGATCTCCAGGGCTCAAATCAGTTGAATGTACACAATATGATGACATCTGAGGTGCTCTCCAGCGTCCAAGGCATCTGTATGGAGCTGGCAGGTAGGACTCGATACCTTCAGAAACTTGTGCTACTACAGACCACCCAAAACAGCACTAGACATCTATGTGTAGGCAACTGAATTGAGCCCCTGTTGATAATAGCATGAATTAAGGACCCTAGCTCATATGCAGATACCCATGCGCAGATAACTACCACCCTGAAGCTGAATCTCATTCTTAGTGAGCATGCATATCTTTACCCCAGATCAGAGTCTTTTGGCCAACAGCGTCCACTGGGACCGTTTCTGAATACTCTCACGCTCTGCTCCCAAACCAAGCTCACCTGTCACTCAGCTCTTTCACCAGCAAGAGTCCAGATGTTACAGAATGCTTCAGTATTAAGAGAGCAAGCCAAGTTGCAGAATATATTTATTGCCAATGTACCTCAGTGAGCTCCATTTACAGGAAGGTAAGCAGCTTTCTTGGAGTCCTTTCCTTCCGTATTTTACCCATGGAAGTTATGATTTGATAGGAGAAGGTGGGCTCTCAGTTCACCTATGTAAAGATCTCAGTGTTTTGTTTCCTAGAACCACATCAGATCTAGATGGTTCCACCAAGGGACAGTCTCTATCAAAAGTATGGAATAAACCTTCTGCTCACGTGAAAGCAGCTACTTGAACAACAGTTCACATAGAAATCACAGACACTCCCCAATCTCTTCCTTCATGTCCTTCCGGCACAATAATGAATTTTTCTAAAGATGTGGTTTAGTGCATTGCACAGCTCTTGTCCTGATTTGAGGTAAAACAGAACCAATTTTCTGTTCAGTCATTTTACTTTGCAGGTAAGCCTCTAATTAACTGAACTCTCTGAAATTAACAGCGTGTTTTTAAGACAGTAGTCTGCTTCCATAGTGGTAAGACTTATGTTTACAGTTTATGCCAAGGAATGGCATGCAGAGAGGCTCTTGTTTATACTTATTGCTGTAACAACCAAGTCAGCTAACTGTTATTTTCCCCCTTGGATGGCTGGAAGCGGAAAAGCATAGAGGGGTCCCACCTGTGGGGAGAGCGGACAGGACAGGTGACCCAAAACTGACCAACAGGGTATTCCATCCTATCTGCCTCATGCTCAGTGTAAAAGCTGAGGGATCAAAGGGTCAGCTCTCTTCCTTCACTGGCCAACATCCAAGGAGGACTTTGTTTGTCTGCCTTTGATCCCAACCCGTGAGTTCCTGAATCCAGATCCGGAATCCGGTTCCGGTCTGTCACTGCATCCAGTCTGGGACTTTCCCAGTGCCAGCTGGTGACATGATTGTCACCCTGGGAGCTTGATACGGTTTTGTTTATATTGTATATATTTCATTTTTTGGTTTTTTTATTATTTTATTAATATTTTAAAGTAGTTTATTTTTTTTTTCTAAACTCATAAGTCTCTCTCTCTCTTCTTCCTCCCCTTGAAGGGAGAGAGGTCAGAGAGCATCTGTCGTTCCTTTCAGTGTCCAATCTGGCCCAAACCACGACAGCTCTTCAGAAGGAAGAAAACCCTTCAAGTGTTCCATGCCCTCCATTTCCATACAGTCAAGAATGTACTGTTAAATTTCTACACAATTTTCTCCTGCCATTTCTCATTCAAAAACCATGCAGGTGTTTCCAAGTTCATGCAAGCGTTTCCAGGTTTTGCCCCACAGCCAGGCATTTAATAGGAGCAATTATTTTTCTTCTAGTATCTCATTAAAGTATCAGACAGAGAATAGTACTTTTGAATGGCAGTGACTAAAAAAAACCACACAAAACAACAAAAAACCTTCACCAACTTCCTTTAAAAAGTCCCCCTGCAGTAGGAAATTGTTTGTAGTTGTTCAATAGCCACAATAAACCCACTTTGTAGGTTTGTTCAGTAGCCACAATACGCGTTGTGTCTTCTTTTAGTCTCACATGTGACTGCTTTCCTGTCTGTGAGGCATTCAAGGTTTGTTCATCTTAGTTGGTCTATGGCACCCCATAACACATCAGCAAATTTTAATTTATGCAGTGTCCAAGACATAATAAATATGGACCAAATGCTATTCTAAAAATAAGGAGTCCAACCAAGTTGTCACATTACACATCTTAAAATAGGCTGAGAGTCACAGGTAACCCCTGGACTAATAATTACTCAATTCTCCATTTTCTCAGCAAGTATTATCAAGGATTAAAAAAATCCTAAAGGAAGTCTTCAGTAAATTAAAGAGCAGATCAGACTCCTTCTGACTAGAGGTTGCATTGGTAAGAATTTTTCTGAATTAAGTGCAAAGTCATGACTAATTACCAGTCAGAACTGGGGATGAGATATACATAATATTTTAATGGGTGGAAGATACAGTACAGGGAAGCCCCACCGTAATATTACCTCATTTCTTCCACAGTTACAATTACAAAGGAAAAGGAAAGTTTTCACATGTAAAGATTAGGGTTGTGTGAAGTTAAAAAAAAAAAAAAAAAAAAGACAAGACTGTGGAAAGTCTCCCTATTTCAACCTAAGATCCAGGGAACAAATTTCCTTATTAGTGGAAGAGCACAAATAAAGCTTTTCAGGCACATAATTGTAATGAAGCCACAGAAGATGTAATTACCAGAAAAGAAGAGGCTGCTGAGCCATTTCAGAGTATTTCCAACAGAATTAAATAACCATCTGAAGACTGCAGGACTGTAAGTCCATGAAGTAATACTGTTTGTATCAAATCAGTTTGTATGAATATCCCCACTGTTTCAAATAAAGCCTTCTGGACTTTGGAGGAACATAATTTCTATTAAAGCTCATTCACTATTGTGGTCAAAATCTACTAAGCCTCACCAGAATCTGGCAACTTCAGAATGAGATATCTTTCACAAGTTGTTGAGGTCAAAAAGAAAATAATAACAACAAACAAACAAAGCAACTGCAACAAAAAGCGAACCAACCAAACAAACAAAACCACAAAACCCACCAGTATTTCAGCACTGTTCGCTTCAGTTTAATACCATATACTCAAATTTGGGCCAGACAAAATGTTTCAGATGATGTGAAAAGAAGCATGAAGCCTCAACATGACAAAAGAACACCTGATATACACAGTATTTACAATCTCAATGTCAGAAAAAGCAGCAGCAAAAGTAGCTGTGTTATGTGGGACTACCATCAGCGTGATGTACATAACAATAACCCCCAGTGCTCTGCCCTCAGCTCCCACATTGTGCCAGAGCCCCAAAGCAACCTTTCCTCAGAGCTTCTCTAACGACCTAATTGGTAATAATCCTTCCTCAAAATCCTACAAGACAGCTTAGATGCTGTACTAGGAGATTCTAGTAAATAGCCCATCACACTTCTCCAGAATCAGTTAATGCCTTTTTAATCAAATACTCTACTTGAAACAGTTCTCTTTTGTGCAAAACAAGAAAAAAAAAAATTACAGTTCAAGCAGCTCCAAAACTCTTTCTTCTGGACTACATCAGTAGAACACAAGTCTGTCCGATATATGGTGCAATCCAAACATGTATAGGTTTGCTTAGGAAAAGGCTTGCATACTATATACTTGTCTGATAGAATCACAGAATAATTGAGGTTGGAAGGCACTTTGAGAGGTCTCTATTCCAATTTCCTGCTCAAAGCAGGGCCAGCTCTGAGGTCAGAGCAGGTGGCTCAGAGCTTTATCCAGTCAGGTTCCAAAACCTTCAAGGACAGAGACTGCACAACTACTCTGGGCAGCCTGCTGCACTGCCTGGCTGTCCTCACTGGGAAGAAGTTACTCTTTTTATCCAGAATCTCTTATTTAAGAAATTACTAAGATAAACAATACCTGGGATATCCATCAACTAGCAGCTCACTGTTTCACAAAAGATCAGTATCTGAAACCCTTTAACACCCTAGAATGAGGAATAAAATCCAGGCTGTGGAGAGGGAAGGGAGACAGGAAACATGCAGGAGGAAGAAAAACTACTGAACTAGTCAACTGGTAACTATCCTAACGTGTTACATATATGTAACTATATTTTCACAGACAGTGAGGATATGTCAAAACTTAGACAATGAGAAGTGGTACAAAGGACAGATGGCAGTAACAACAAAAATAAATAAATGCATCCCACCCAACACTGCTGGTCAAGAGACTCCAATCAGGCCCACAGTTATTGCCCCTGCAAATTACTTGAGGGAATCATGTGTATCATCTGTCTTCCAGGCATCCTTAATCCACGTGCCTATCTCCCAGTCTTGCTGAAGTCAGTGGAACTGTTAGTGCGTTATTTCAGAAAGAACAGGAGCTTATTTGTTTTACCGAATGTTAATCACTTCTTAGAGTCACTACTTACCAAGTTCTACTTCAATTGTATTGTTCTTCGGATAAATAAATTCTGGTCTCTTCTGCCCTTCTAACAGAAACAAAGAGAAAAATAACATCTTCAGGCAAGAAGAGTTCCACAACTTACTTCAACTGATAGTTCTACAATGGTTTTGTTTTATTGTTTGGTACTATTGCAGCACCATAATTACAACCAGTTTCAAATTTACAACAGAAAATATCTCATAAGATTTTCTGTACTGTATCCAAGTTTTTTTTAGCTTCCAAATTAACAAAAGGCTTTAGCTTACCTTAAAAATACTTTAAAAAAAAAAAAAATCTCAAATTTACTAGCAGTTGATATAAAAAGTAATACAAAACCAGAAAACAAAATCAAGACCAAAAAATGCAATTAACTTTCTCAGAGAGATGGATAAGGAAGAGAAAGAGGGATTGTATCAACAACCTCCTAGATCAGGTGAATATCTATTCAAGTAAAAGAGTAAACAAATATGCACTTAAACTGAGCTGGAATCGTATAATTCGGCACGAGGTATAGACTCACTACTAACAACCCACCGCTCTTGTACCACTTATCTAAAGTCAGAATTTTGATTTCATCTAAGAAAGTGGACACTCTACCTCCAGCCAACTTTTCTGATAGGACTACTATCATGGTACTGGTCAGGCCATCATCAACACTGCCTACAAAGACTCAATCATAATGATCACGGCAATAAATGACAGTACTGGGAGAGTGAGTCAGCCAGTTCCGAGTCCTGTGTGCCGAAAAGCACAACCAAGTGCCAAGAGTAAATCAATCCTTCCCAGAGGAAGATTTATTAACTTTAAAATATTTATACAGCTAGTCATATCTCTACTCCCAACAACTGAGAGTCTAGTGAACTTTGAAAGCAAGTTCACCAATAAGGCCACAAGCAGGTGCTTTGCTGTGATGGCCTCAGCAAAAATTCCCTCCCCCCTTTTTTTTTTTTTTAATTTATTTAACTTAATGGTGCATAATTTACTTTAGCAAAAACAACCCCCTCCACCCCAGTAACTGCTGCTTCCTTCTAATTCTCATTCCTAACCCTGCATTTCTCATTTCCCCATGATAATTATTCCTCAGAAGCAATGCTCAAGGGTAGCAACATGCATTATTGTATTTTAATTTTACATTCAGGAAAAAAATTAATTCAAGAAGATTTGCCAACTCTGATTTCACAGAGCTGCAAAGTAACATGCCAAATAGCTTACGCCTGCAGAGTAGAGCCAAAAAGACAAGAGAATAACCTCAGTGCACTCACCTTTAACCTCTAGGCTCACAGTTCGTGAAACATTATATTGTTTTCCCATATATGTGTATACCATACGGCACGTGTAGTTTCCTCTGTCTTGCACACTTACATTGTGAATCCAGATAGCATTTTCAACCTCTGCCAAAACAAGTCGCTTGTCTTCAAGAAATCCAGGCTTACACTCCTAAATATATCAAAAGTACCTGTGATTTAAGGGAACTAATAATCTGATCGTTAAATAAGTTACTGAACTCTGCTGATTACTAAAATACCTGCCAAATACTGATTTTTTTTGAAAGCCACAACATAGGTTCTTATCCAAGCATCACTATGCTCTAACACGAAGCCTGATGACGTCTTGCTGCATTTGCACTGTTTAAAAAAAGTCACTGCAGCCAATACTTTAAGTTTCCAAACACAGCATTTTAGTTCACTGCCTTTGTTTAATAGCTTGACAGTTATCTATCTCAGGTTATTCACATGTAGCTGAGTTTATGAGAATACATGCCTGCATTCCTACTTCACTGAGATGAACAACAGCTGCTGTAGCCGTGCCTTAAGCTGTTGGGTGTATTGCTGTTTCTGTGGCAATGCAAATACAGTGAAAAACTTCCTTCTCTTCCCTGACCTATAAGCAATTTGAATCAGTTCATCTCTGAAGACGATGTATAAGTGCAGCACCAAGACCATACAGTCCCATGTAGCTACTTTAATACTAGTTTAATACCTGAACATGGGAAAAATACATGTTTCTAAGCTTTCACAGTCTACAGAGTATTTTGACAGAATCAGAGCAAGAGGCATAATACCCCACCATGATCGAAAGATAGGACAAGCCTAATATTCTGTGAAACTGAAGTAATTATGCAGAGCCTTGTATTTAAGGAAACATACAAGTTTTTAAAACTATTATCTACATAAAACAATCAAAGAATAAATTAGATTTTCACAAATCAACAAACCAAAACACATGTTTTTTGACTCTGAAAAAACCTGCACTCCAAAAATGGACAATTACTTTTTTAAAATATGCCTCCCATATCTTCATACACCTCCCCAATAGTGTAGCAAAATAGATACCTTACACAAACTGTAGAGAAAATAAACCTTCCCTTCCCCAAAAATGCTTTTCACAGTTACTCCATAACACATTTTAAACAGAATATTTCTTATCTTGTATATCTGAAATACATGTGCACAATACCTTATACCAGTGTACTTCAGGCTGATTATTGTCTTCATCTTTAAAATGATCTAGATCAGGGCATATAATCTTTCCAGTATTTGTGCTTGTCACTTTTTGTTCAAACTTCATTTTTCCGTTAAAACACAAACCATTATCGTTCTTAAAAACTGTCAAATTTACAGTTTTTTGGTTAGAGTGGTTAAGCCGCCTGTAATTAGAACAGCAGACAAGTCAGGTCATTAAGAACAAGGTTCCCTGTTTCCAGGAAGTCCACAAGCCTTGCCTTTAACACCCCTGCCACGGTCCCCCTAGCTCTTAAACACCACCCCCAGCTCCAGACTGAGAGATGGGAGTAAGGTTTGATCTTGTGTTGAAGAAGCAGGGTCTGCTCTGGAAGCACCAGAGAGGATGCCAGGATTTCTCAGAGCTGACGCTCCACAGTACTAACCCAGCCTTGCCATTTTCAGCACTACATTTGCCAACACACAGTAGTGCAGGGCAACCCAAAACGTATCTGTGCTGGAACACCCCCAGTGCCAGATGAACAGGAGAAGACAGGTTGATCTCAGTGCTCCCTGGAGGGACAGAACAAGCAGTAACTCTTAGCATATACATCAGGTGCAATATCCATGTGAAATCACTTCACACCAAGAGCTCGCAAGAACCAGTGGCACAGTAGCTCTTGCAGAGGAGACATTGCACTACAAACCAGAAGCCTATGCCAGAAGTAAAGGAATACTCTCTATTAATTCATTGCACAACTCTTCATTTCTCAATGCTGCGCTAAGGGAGAAGTTTCCAGAAGAGTGAACTGCATTTTTTGACACCGCTGGCTTCAACTTCTATATACTGCACCTTGACAAGTTCTGCAATTAAGGTCTGAGTGACTGATGCACAAAACGTAGCCTACAGTTAACACAACTGAACTTCAGCAAGTTTTTTTGTGCTGCTGACAGTATGCAAGCCAGGGATGTAAGACTCCCATGGGAACACATCTCATAGCTAGAGTAACTAGCAACATAGCAGTAAAGACTAAATTATTTAACTGGGTAGCTTTGAAAGGATTACATTCCTTCTGACTTCCAATTTTAGCTTCATTACCGACTCTGAGGCAGGAAGGTGCAAAGGCCTGCAACCTGTGCCTACCCTGGAAGTTTTTGCTGATCACTGTTACTACATTCATGACAAAAACCCCTTCAGCGTAACTGGTGTACTGTGGGCACACCACTACACAGAGCTACAGACTACTAAAACAAATTTGGGGTCACCCAAAAAGCCTTCATTGGCTGTTCTCAGTGTGCTGGGGAAAGACCATGAGGAAAAGAACAATTTCTGTGTGCCTTCCCAAAATTAATTTCCTGTTCAGCACACAGCAAATTTCACCCATTACAAATAAGATATGACCACCTGAAGTGGTGAAGTCCAGTGCACTGATCTGAGCTGTATATATGGCAATAGCTTTAAAATCCTGAAGAGGTAAGAAGAATCTATTCTTTTTTTCTTCTGCTTTGTGCACTCAGCTCTTTTGAGCAGTACTGCAGACACATCACTTTCATCGTCTCTAAAGCTGTCTAGCACATTGGTTTGCTCTTCACATGCATTCTCATTTTTGATGAGTAACATTTGGTAATGTTTTAAAATAAAATAATAAAAAAAAAAAGAATGGCTTTCTGCCTTTTAATTTGTAAATCTCTCAAAGGATTCCCAAAAAGTTACTAAGCTCTCCAGAAAGCCTGTATGTGGTGATACTGCATAAGATGCAGAGTTTGATCCTTTTAGATCCTTCTTCCATTTAACCATGTCCAATGAAGAAACCAAAATGTTCTTCTGACCTGTCAGCATCAGACAGCAACTTGAACACAGGAAAAACTGAAGCAGTTAAGACTTTTCCCTGTGACCTTACACTTCATCCAAAACAAACAAACAACCCACACAGACTGTTGTCAATACTATCATGCTTTAAGATAAACAGTCTTCTGTATGAACCGCTTTTGCAATGCTAAATGCGTGGCGAAAAAAAAGGCAGCATGCAGAAACAAAAAGCATGGTCAAAACAGTGCTTTTAAGTGGTCTAAACTGTCTACCTAAACCAAAAAATTCTGTACACTCAAGTTCCACAAATATATTATCACATTTGTAAGCCTTAACAACCCAGTTGTTTCCCTCCTCCCTTCCTTACCTTACATGACATTCATAAAGTCCAGAATCTTCCAGTGTTGCAGGAATAAACCAAAGCAAGCCCTCTCGCTGATGGATCCTGGCATCTCTCTCTGTGGTTACCGGTGTAGCACTACCATTTTTATACCACGTCAGATTGTAATCAGAGTGAAGCATTGGCAATGTAATTATTGGGCAACTAATAGCTGTAGGTTCTCCAACAAGCACAAAGTAATTACAAATAATGCATTCTTCTATTAAAAAAAAAGAAAAGAAAAAATTATCAATGCTTTTAATCTGCATACTTTTATAAGTATTACTATCCATTCCAAGTTACAGAGAATTAGAAAATAAACTTTCTGTAACAATCTACCATTAAAACATCGCAAGGCTACCATTTTTTGTTTGTTTAGCACCTTCTAGTTGAGGATCTAAAACACAGATTTTACAAAGCTTAAGCCACAACTTCTCTTTATTAAGGCAGCCAGCTCCAAGCAGACTTAAGTCCAATAGCCTCAGTGCAAACCAGGGTATAAGAAGATACATGGGATTCACCAGGCAACACAGGCTTCCCGACTGACCTGTCATGTGCTTATATTTGAGCATGTTAGTACTTCTGCAGAATTACCAGATTCTTAATGTAGATACTATCATCTGTGAAAAGCATGGTGCAAACAGTAACAGCTACAGAATGCCTCTTAAAGAAGGCATTCAACAGCTAAGTCAAGGAAGCCAATCTCTCTGGACTTTCTTAAAAGGAAGCAGAGAGAGGCTAATGAAAGCATCAGTACCCTGAATTCATGTGGCTAGATTTAAAATATTTATGTCAATTTGTCCATTCCATCCCCAGTGCAACTTCAGCCCAAAAAGAGGCATTCATCATATCTTCAATATGCTGAAGCAGAAACAAACCCCAAATCCACTATTTGCTCATAATAACTCTTTTCTACTAAATACACACAACTCGTCTCTTGCAGGTTTTCTTTATTAAAATTATCATTTCAACAACGTATTTAACTTACCAGCATTGAACAGAGGTATCAGTAGAACGAGATGACCAATGAGCAAAAACATAGATGTCATCTTTTGCTGCAAAGAAGAATTTTTTTCCATTAGTGTGGTAAGAGTGCTCAAGCTGCACTGTCCTCTGCACTCTACGTTACTCCTTTAAAAAATCAGGAGAAGCATTAGTCATCTTGGGGAGGGGAAAAAAGGGTTTGGTAATTTAGCCCCAGCCTTTGAAGATTTCAATGCAGCAACTGCTGGCCTCCACAGAAGGCTGCTCAGTTTTCAGCTTTCTACTCGAATTTCTGCAAATTTCTACTGGAGTAACTCTGGCATAAAGTGTAATTTTCTTTTGCCAGTATAGTTAAGCCAAAAAAAAAACCCAAAACTCAACCCTCTAGCATAGACAAAATATGCTAGCATACAGTGATTTAAACTACACTGTATAATTTAGAAACCAACCTTGATTAAGCTACTCCTCTTTCCACATGTTTACAACAGACACAATCAGAGAGATGTATGAGTTTTTGTTCTTTGAACTGTTCTTCTACAGTTGAGGCAGCACTGCTCTTAAAAGCAGATGAACTTGTAGTTCTTTGCAGGAAGACCAGCACACTGTAACTCCGGTGTGACCTGGTACTTAAATTGGCGTCTGAAGTCAAATGCGTGTGGAAACCGCAGCTAATACGAATTGCTGTGGTCAGACACAAAACGACATGTTCAAGAATTGTAGTTTCACTTCACACCTCAGGTCTTCTTTGCAGCTTTCTCTAACAAAGACACGACTGAACAGACACCCACTGCCCGCAAGTGGCTTCCATGAAACCTCTAAATCTTAACCAAGTCCTGCTCACCTCTCAGATGCGCCTGCTTTTTCTTGTCAAGGTGTTATCAGAGCCCTTCCCATGCCGCCTACCATCAGCCAGCGGGAAAACACCTAAACCCTTTCCCTTCTGACAGCTCCTTGCAGGTTAAGGTCTGCATTTAGCTGTCTTGCCTTTCCTCAGTTCCTGACTGTTTTGCATGCTGCTCCCTTTCAAACTAAAGCAATCTCATTTCCCACACAGCTGTCCATTGCAAAACACTTATTGCACAGGTCCTAGTTAATATTTGTCTTCTACCCAGCTAGAAATGGCTGGAAGAATAGATGTTATTCCCTGAAAAAACACACATGGCCTTGACTTACTTTTATATCCAACGTAGTTCACTTTAGTGACAAATAAGCCACACCAGCTCCTTCTTTTGAAACATTTCATAGGCAGAAGTGTTGGGGTAGTAGGGAGGGACACACAGAGAAGAGTTCAACACTCTAATATAACGGCCTCCAAGTATGTCCTTCTTTTGGACAGTTTATCTGACAAAGCACTCATACCATAGTCTTTATCTAGTTGTCCTGTGTGCGTTTTTTCTGTAACTTGCCAATGAGCTGATCAACATTCCTGGAGCTTCAGTTTACCTGTAAAGGGTGGAAAAGGGGAGTGGAGAAGGGGAAAAAAGGATTTTTACAAAACACATCATTTGGACAGCAGCATACACATAGAAACCCAAATTTTCTACAGACATCCTAAATGTAAAAGCAAGAGCATCCCTCTGCCTACGCTAGAGAAATGACTTAAAAAGAAAAGAGCAACAACAAAATTTGCAGTAAGATTGACCAATAATTCTAGCAACGACCTTTGGAAAATGAAGTTTCTGCCAAAACCAAGATAATATTACACTGGTGTCAAGCAAGCAACAAAACCAGACATAAGTAGCCACTCTGTAAGAAAGATTTAACCACTGAAAGGAAACAAAGAATACCTAAAATTTGGGGCAAGATAAGAATAACTAAGCAATCCAACAGGTTAAGCTTTACATTTTGCACCCATTACTGGTCTTCAGTACCAAGAGTGGATGTCTTCTTAATATTGTACGCTAACGCTCAACTTTTTTGAAGTTCTATTCTTCCAAAATTTACACACACGCACCCTTCAAACATTGCAGCAGTAAAGCTTAAAAACTCTGGAAAGAAAGGAAGAAGCCTGTAGCTTCTGTAGTTGTAATACTTCACAGTATATGGAGCACTTCTATTCTGGTCAGTATGGTTTAAAGTGACCACACAGGGTTTTTACACTTTTTCTTAAGCAGAATATACAGAGAAACACTACTCCAAATCCACAAATGTGAAACAGCAAACTTTGTTCACATACCTAACAACTTTAGCCTTGTAGTGCCTTCTATTCCAGCGTCAGCAACATGAAATGCCCCTGTGACACAACCACAGAAGCTCAAAAATTTCACTTATGTAGAGAGAACGGTAATTTCACTGATGACACTGCCTACATCCTTAGTTTGGAAAACTGTTTCAGCTCAAAGATTTCTGGGCTCAAAGGAAAAACATACTTGAAGTCTTTTAAGAAATAAGGAAAAAAAATCCCAACAACAAAAAAAACCCCCAAACTCCACACTACCAACCAATCATGCTTGTGGTTCGAGCTACTAAAAAAGAAAAGGTTTGATTTCCAAGTCACTCTCCTAATATTTATCTTCCCATAGTTAAAATACAACTTACTACTGCTCCTTCAAATTTCTAAAATTACTGTCTTGAAAACCAAAACAGAAAACATGTGGACCTAATTTTGTTGTTTGCAGGATGTCTATCTTCACAGAACTTGCCCTTTTACTTGCCTTAGGCACATTGCCAACTTTAAATGCCATAAGAACAGGTTTAGAGACATATTGGGTCCCTAAGTCTGCATGCTGCGGAATTAGCAAATTTGTCCTTCAGGAAGCCGCGCGAAACACGTAACTGTGTCTTTGTTTCCCAAATTTTCCGCCTCCACTTTTTCAAAGATTTTACTTGTAAGTAATTTATAAATACAAGAACATGACAGATCCTTGCAAAGGCCAACACAATGAAAAAATGATCAAGACAGCAGCATAGGAAGCATCTAAGCCCCTCAATTGCACATCAGCAAGTCACTGTTAATTTAAGTGGCTTTCAATATCGACCACTGTCTACGGGGACTCATTACAGCAAGGGTAACCAACAGATCCTTAGCCTTTGAGCCAAACATAAGAACACAGAAACTGTGGTTCAAAGGCAGTTCATTATCGTCTTTGCGAACATAATAGCATAGCGGTGTAAAGTGCACCAATTTAGTGGCATACCCATATGAAAGAACTGCATTAACTTTTGAAGTAAAACTTTAATACAGTTTAATTGAAATGGGAGCAAAGGGGGTGGAGAACCAAACCCATGTATGGCCACGTGGTCCAAAGTACAACGACCAAGACAAGATTCAACCCACCACAACAATTCATACAGCTCACACCTTGTTCCTTGTTGTGCTTACTCCTGTCAACACGAGTAAGCTGTTAAGCTGCCTAGCAGGGTTAAACTGCAACAGCAAAGCAAGATAAAATGTCTAACAGACTGTACCTTGTTTCCAGTCTCTTACTTTCCTGAGGTCCCAACTTTCCTAACATGCTCAGTAACACGGCTGATCATTTTACAGGGGCATACTTGAAAGCCGAGTCACACAAAATGATGTACAAGCACCCTCTAGAAGCAGATCTGGCTATTCACTGTGGTATTCTGACACTGAAGCGATGACCACAAACTTTAGTCCTTAAATGCCTCCTTTCCAGACAATCCTGCAAGTTGCAGGTCTACAGAAAAGTCACACCTTTAAGGAAAACCCATTATCCAAGACATTCTGTTGAAGCTACATTAAAATGAAGTCACAGAAACCAAAGAACAATATTCACAAAGAAGCCTGCAATAGTTAAATCTTCAGAAGCTAAATTCCAGTTCAGCTTTGAGACAAAGCATTAACTGCTCTGAGTCTCAATCTGAACAAAGTGTTTGTTACAGGTACTGCCTCAACTTACACCAAAGCAGGGTAGGAGGATGAAAAAAAAAAAAAAAAAGAGATGGATACCTGTAGCTGTACGTAACTGGCCACCACCGGTCGATTCTAGTACAGTGAAGAACTATGCATCCACCTACTTCCACCTCACATCAAACTGGAGGCAATGATAGCATCCAAATAACCTTTAAAGGAGTGATCTTATCAGTATTCAAACCAACTGAAAACAGTACCTCCTTTCAGCATCAAGTGGAAGGAGCTCATTTTGCAGTCAGTGCTTTGAAGACTTTTTTATGTCATTTCAACTCCTCATACCTGCCAATATAAAGTAATGTAGACTTTAATGTGGAATATTTCTCATTAAAGTCAAAAGCAAGTTATTACTTTTTCACTAACATTTTTAAAGTACAGTTAAGAGGCATTTAAAAGGACCAGAAGGGCTCATGCAGGGAAAACTGTATGTATCAGAAATACAGTGATGCAAAGTATTAAAGAATTCATGTATCATGCTTCGGGGGGAAGGAGGAAATCAGCAATTTTTTTTTTTTTTAAAGTAATAGGTATTTCTCATTTAAGGATTAATTTAAAATACCTGAATTATTAAACAAAATAATGCATTATAAAACAAATTTTGTGCAAGAGTTTTATGCCAGTTTCTCAGTTTTCACAGCACTCCAATTCCCCAATCTATATGAAAGGCAAGCATGTTCATTTAGCAAGCCCAACCTGTTTTTTTTGAGCATCCAAGCACATGGAGATGGTCCAAGCCGGGCAAGCGTGCGGTTGCCGAATTTACAAAGAAGAAAAACAAAACGCATCCAGCATTTGGCTTCGAGTCCCTGACGAAAACTCTCCAAACTCAAGAGCTGCTGCTGGAGGCAAACTGGAACCCTGCTTCAGCTTTCGACGGACAGCTGGCTTCCTCCCACCCAGCCAGCTCTGGCTCCACAGGTCCGGCTCTGTCAGCGCAACTCCCCGCTGGGTTCGATGCTGGTCTTTCTGCAGGCACCTCCTTTCACCTAAAGCCGTGCTCTTGTTGGTCATACGAACAAGAAAAAAAAGAGAAAAAAAAAAAAAGAGCCCCTGTTTGATCACAGTTATGCAATAAACAGCTTCTGTAGCGTTCTACCGGTCAAGAAGATTTAGGCCACGCGTTATCCCGCTTCCTGTTACAACTACTTTTAAAAAACGTGGGAGCCCTTCAGCGCTCCTGCAGTCTTCTTGTTTCACGTCGCACTTCCCACCTGGGTCTGTCTAACGCGATACACAAGCGAGGAAGCAGACACAAACGCAAAATAATAATAATAAAATAAACAAAAAACCCCAAATAAATAAATAAGAATTACTTCCGAGGAAGTTATTTGGTGCCAAAACAGCTGGAAAACCAGCAGCCACGCGCAGAGGCCGGGGGGAGGGTAAGGAATGTTGCAAACACACCACGCACCAAAACAAACGCCCTCAGAACACGCCTGAATTTAACAGAAACCGACGGTTTTGCGGTTGTTTTCGGGGTTTTGTTTGTTGTTTTCTTGTTTTGGTTTGGTTTGGTTTGTTTTTTTTTTCTTGGAAACCATCAGCACTGCCGTCTACCTGCCCC